GAGACAGGGTTTCTCTGTGTAGCTTTGCACCTTTCCTGGAACTCACTTGGTAGCCCAGGCTGGCCTCGAACTCACAGAGATCTGCCTGGCTCTGCCTCCCAAGTGCTGGGATTAAAGGCGTGCGCCACCACCGCCCAGCGAGTTTTCTTTTCGAATGTTCTTGCCTTTGTCTAGCTTCAGCCTCTAGGTCTCAGTGGCCTACTGTGGAAATCAGGAAGTGTCGCTCTCTTTCACCTGTGTTTGGGGCGAGTTCAGAAAGGATTGCAGCTCCTTCTTCTTCACACGTTGGTAGAATTCACCAGTGAAGCCCCTGGCACCTTTTCTTGGTGGGGCATACTGATGGCTGAGTCTATCTCTTTGTTTGCCATAGGTCTATCTTGAGTCTGTTTAATGGTGTGTGAGGCTCCAGGATTTCCCTGGGTCATCTTGGTTGATAGGCTATCGGATTTGTTGGCATACAGTTCTCATTAGTATTCCTTGTCCTTTTTGGTTTGTTTTTGCTACTCTTTTTATGAAGTAGAGTCGGGCCTTGTTAAGATACTTTAATATAGATTTTAAGCACGACTCTTAAGAAAGAGATGCTCAGAAAGAAAGAAAGAAACAGTCAAGAGCACCAGTACGGGCTGACGAGATGGCTCAGTGGATGGAGAGGCTTGCTGCCAGGCCTAACCATCTGAGTTTACCCCCAGGTCCCACTTGGAGGAAGGAGAGAACTAGCTTCTGGAAGTTTGTCCTCTGATTTCCCCCATGTTCCCACCACCATAAATAAATATTTTTTTTTTTAAATTAAAGAGCGTGGGTAAGGGCTTCTCTGAAAGAGTCCTTTTGGATTCTTTTTACTTTTATTCACTTATTTGTTTGATTGATTTGATTTTTAAGATAGGGTCTCACTATGTAGCTGGCTCTCCTAGAACTTGCAATGTAGACCAGGCTGGCCTTGAGCTCACAGCGATCTGCTTGTCGCTGCCTCCTGAATGCTGGGGCTAAAGGTGTGCGCCATTACTCCAGGCTCTCCCTTTTCATTCTTTTTTTGTTTTGTTTTGTTTTGTTTTGTTTTGTTTTTCAAGACAGGGTTTCTCTGAGTAGCCCTGGCTGTCCTAGAAGTCTCTCTGTAGACCAGGCTGGCCTTGAACTCAGACATCTGCCTGCCTAGTACTGGGATTAAAGGCGTGCGCCACCAGGGCCCGGCTGCCAGCTCTGGGTTTAATTTGCTCCTCTGTTCTATTTCCTTAGCTGTAGAGAGAAGTTGTTGGTTTGTGGCTTCCCTCTTCATTAACGTAAGCAGTGGTAGCTATCAGTTTCTTCCTGGAACTGCCTTTCCTGGAACTGCCTAAATGTTGTGGCATGTTAATCTTTTCTTTCTTGTTTTGTTTCTGAGGTAGGGTCTCGAATAGCCCAAGTGGATCCTAAACTTTTTACATACTAGCTGAGAAAGGCTTTGAACTTCTGACCCTCTGACCTGATCCCTACTGAGAGCTGGCATTACAAGCATGCTGTAACACACCCAATTATTGTTGTTGTTGTTTGGGGGGGTGGGGTATGGGGAAGCCTCCATGGTTTCTGAAAAACAAACCAACTTTTGGTCAATGTAGCCCTGGAACTCGCTCTATAGACCAGACTGGCCTCAGACTGAGAGATCTGCCTGCCTCTGCCTCCCGAGTGCTGGGATTAAAGGTGTGTGCTGCCACCACCCAGATTATTTTGTTTCTACTGTAGTATGGTGTACCCGAGGCTGGCTGGCCCATGCATTTCTGGGCAATTCTCCTGTCTCTACCTCCCGTCTTGAAGTAGGGATGCTGAGATTATGGATGCTCAGCTCCACATCCGGCATTCACATGGGTTCTGTGAACTGAACACCAGTTCTGTGTTCTTCTGTGGGGATTGAACTCAGGTTGTCAGTCTTGCACTGCAAGTCCGTTTTATCCATGAGCCGTCCGATTGGCCCTGCGAGTGCTCTTTAAGCATTTATTTTATGTGTATGTGTGTGTACCTGAGTGTGTATATGTGTGTGTACCATATGCATGTAAGAGCCCACAGAGGTCAGGAGAGGCACCAGATCCCCTGGAAATAGAGTTCCAGGTGGCTGTGAGTCTCCGTGTGGGTTCTGGGAACTGAATCTGGGTCCTCTGAAAGAGCAGCGAGGGCTCCTGAAAGCTTTCCAGCCCCAACCCTGGGAATATTTTTAAGACGGTGTTTTGCTTTGTAGTCTAGGCTGGCCTGAAACTCACAATCCTGTCACCTCAGTGCTGGGATCCTAAGCGTGTGACACTGTGCCTGTGAATTTGGGAATTTCCATCTTAGATCCTGTATCCCCAAACTATCTCAGCATCCGTCTCTCCCTGTGCCTGGGCAAAGGAATCTCTCCACTGGAACCCTCGGGAGCCAGTCCTTCCGGTGCAGAAATAGAGGGACTGGGACTCGACTTAAATCTACCCACCGGCTCCTTCTGTTACACTGGATTGTCCAGGGTGACCAGCAGGGGGCACCAGCATCACGTAGGTGTGCCCTCCCTCCTGCTCCTGCCTTGGAGAGCAGAGGAGACCCTAATACGGTGCTCTGTCTCTGTCCTAACACCCAGAACCGCTGCCACCACCCTACCACCTCCGAGAAGTGCAGGTCACCATCCTAAACAACAGCAGGTGCCACGACCTGTTCAAGATTACTTCTGTCTACCCCTTGATCAGCAGAGACATGTTTTGTGCTGGTACTGAGGATGGCAGTGCCGACACCTGCAGTGTGAGTATGCCCACCCCTCGAGGAAGAAGCCCATGCTTCCTCACCCAAGGCCTGAGGGCTCTCTCCATGTGTACCATCAACCTGTCCTCAGGGTTCGTCCATGCGAAATCACTTACAGCCTTTAATTGCCCAGCCGAAAAACATACTTCTCATTTTCCATTTATAATGTTTGTCTTCATCCCCGACCCTCAGAGGTAGAAACCATGGCTCCACTTTCCTGATGAGTAGCTGGGGCTCTGTTGTTGCCAGGGGGAGAAGTAGGATCCTCACCCAATCTTCTACCCCACAGCGTCCCCTGCCCCGGGGCCTCTTCCCCAGACCCACTTACCATCCATCTCTCAGGCTCACCCATACTGCTCCTCAGGGTGACTCAGGAGGACCCTTGGTCTGCATCATGGACGGTCTCTGGTATCAGATTGGAATCGTGAGCTGGGGAATAGGCTGTGGGCGGCCCAACCTGCCTGGCCTCTACACCAACGTGAGTCAGCACTACAGCTGGATCCAGACCATGATGATCCTCAACAGTGCAGTCAGACCTGACCTGGCGCCGCTCCCGCTGTCCCTTACTCTGCTCCAGGCTCCCTGGCTTCTGAGGCCCACCTGAGCCCATGAAGCTGCAGCCTTGGGGCCCAAGCGCCACTGCACTCTTCCCAACCCCAAGGCATTCAGTATTGGGGAGGGACATCCTGTTTGACCAGGCTCTTGTCTCCTTTGCCAATAAACTCTTGTGCGTATCTGAGCTGGCACCTTGCAGAACATTATGGAGACCTTGTGACCTTCTGGACCTTCCCTGGTTCACCTTGAGCAGCCCAGCCCAGGCAGGACCCATGATGGCTTGTCCAGGCTTTGGTTGCAGGCAGCAGACCTGTCTGTGACAGCAGACCTGTCTGTGACAGCAGACCTGTCTGTGACAGCAGACCTGTCTGTGACAGCAGACCTGTCCGTGACAGCAGTGTGGACTGGAGACCCAGCTCCCGGCTGCTGCCTGCAGGGGTCTGCAAACTTCCTCCAGAGCTCTGCTCTGTGAAGCTGTGATTCCTGACTATATGCACCACAGAATTTCAGGACAGACCAGCGTCTAGGGAGAGCTTCTGTTACTGTGATAAAATGCCACCACCAAGCAGTGTGGCGCATGCCTTTGATCTCAGCACTAGGGAGGCAGAGGGAGACTGATCTCCGAGTTTGAGGCCAGTCAAGTTCCAGGACAGCCAGGGCTACACGGAGAACCCTGTCTTGAAAAATCCCCCAACAACAAAAAGCTACCACAATCAAAAGCAACTTGGAGAGGAAAGGGTTTATTTCAGTTTACAACTCTCAGGTCACACTCCATCACTGAAGGAAATCGGGACAGGAACTCAAGGCAGGAACATGGAGACAGGGACTGAAACAGAGACCATGGAGGAAGCTTGCTCCTCATGGCTTGCTCAGTCTGCTTTCTTATAAAACCCAGGACCACCCACCTAAGGATGGCACTGCCAAACAGTGAGCTGTACCCTCCCACATCAACCATTAATCAAAACAATACCCCCAGACTGTGTACAAGCCAATGTTTTCAAGACAGGCCCTGGCTATCCTGGAACTCCTCCATAGACCAGGCTGGCCTCCAACTCAGAGATCCACCTACCTACCTGCCTCTGCCTCCCGGATGCTGGGATTAAAGGCACCACTATGCCTAGACAAATCTTACGGAGGCATTTTCTCACTTAATATTCCTTCTTACCAGATACGTCTAGGTTTGTGTCAACTTGACAAAGGCCGACTAGCACAGCCATTGGAAGTAGAGTGGGGGTTTATTAAGGTTTAACAGAGCTCTGTTCACGGGGTGTCTGAGCTTCGTGTCTGTTGCTGGGATAAAATACCCTGCAAGAGCAGCCTTAAGGGGAAGACTGACTTGGCTCACAGTTCCAGGTTGTAGTCTCTCATTACAGGGAAGTCAAGGCGGGAACCTGAAACATCCACAGTCAAGACCCAGAGAATGAACCCGCACATGCCTGCCAACGCTCAGCCCTCTTTCTCCCTTTGCCGTAGTCCAGAACTCAAACCCAGGAAATGGCACCACCCACTCTTAGGCTGGGTCTTCCTTCATCAATTAGCATAATAAAGATGATTCCCCTCCAGACCTGCCACCCTGATTTAAACAATCCTTCAATAAAATTTCCTTTCCCCAGCAAGGTAGTGTGCACACCTTTAACACCAACACTTGGGAGTCATGGGCAGAACTCCTAACCATGACGTACATCCGAGTGCGCCCACATGTGTCACCATGGCCCATTCAGCTCATCTCAGGATCAGGACTTAGCTGCGTGTGGTTTATTGGGGAATGCGAGCCCAGGCCGCACAGGTGAGCATATGTGCTGCTTTTCACTAGTAGAGTCTGAGCCTGACAGGGAGATGGGCTTAGCACACAGTCTGTACCTCCACTGGGTTGGGTTTCAGGTTGAGATCAACCAGTTGCAGACTTTTCCCCTGAACTGAGCCAAATTCTCCGAAAGAACTCATCTTGCTCCATGCGTCCCATTTCTCCATGTCCTCAAGTCTTGCCCCGTCACTCCAGATTACAGCTTCCAGGCCCTGGGCCAGATGGCTGCCTACTCTCAGAGACTTCATGCTCACCTGACTTGTAAAATTTGGTCTGACATCCCAAAGCTGACCATATGCTCTGAGGTTCCTCCCAAACGCACGAGGCCTTAGTCTTCCTCACAGCCACACTGTATTAGGAGCTGACTCACCTTCTAGGGGCAGCCAAACCTGGAGCAACAGAAGGTCCCAGAAGGTCAAGGAGGATCGGCACACCTGTCTTTCATTCTTCCTGCACTTTTATAGAATTGGCCACATGCCTGGCACTGCTACAGACTCTGCGTGGTTCACCCAGTTATCTTCACAACAACCAAATGGTTGGTTGGTTTTATAGATGAGAAAAGTGGGGTGTGCAGGGAATTGAGTTGAATAACTCTACCACGGGCTCAGCATTGGAAGGAGAACATGACAAGGCCAAACTCCAGAGATCTGAACCAATGTGATCAACTGATACCGTCGCCACCCTCTGTCCCCTCCTCCCTCCCTCCCCACTCTCCTCTCTCCCTCTCCCTCTTTCTCTCTCTCTCTCTCTGTGGTACTGGGGATCAAATTCAGGGCCTCAAATAAGCAAGGGCTCTACCACTGAGTTATCCGCCCCCAACTGACTTCAAACTGGCTACGTAGCCAAGGGTCATCTTGAACTTCTGATCCTCCTGACTCCATTTCTGAGGTGCTGGACTCGTAGGCATGCGCTGTCACACTCCGTTCGTGTCCTCTGCGGTTAAAGCACAGGGTCTCGGTGCGCACGGACACACTCTACTGTCTTAGTCACGTTCTCAAACCCCAAGGGTAGGTTTTAAGTTTAGTCTTTGGCTGTGGACGGCAGAAGCCAAGTCTGAAAGGCTGGTTTCCTCCTATATCCATCCAGTCACTGGATCTGGGCTACAACAAGGTCCTCTTCTCTCTCTGTCTTGCTTCCAGCTTGTTGTCCTGCTCTGCCTTCCCCCTCACTCCTCCTTCCCCTCACTCCTCCTTCCCCTCACTCCACCTTCCCCTCACTCCTCCACCTTCCCCTCACTCCACCTTCCCCTCACTCCTCCTTCCCCTCACTCCACCTTCCCCTCAC